GTCAGAACTATAATAAATCTTATAGTTGGTAGGATTTGTCCCATAAGTTGGCCAATAGTAAAAAGGGGTCCCTAGCCAGACATATGTGGTATTTTTTTTAATACATTTTCTTTTAAAAGACATCTATACTCTTGTACTACCCCCAAGGGTCTCCTGATGAAGCAGGCTCCATTTTACCTGTAAAATGCATAGATGTATCCTTGCTCCACTGAAGTATTAGCATTTAATCTTCCATTTATGGATGTTATCTAATATACAAGTGAAACTCGAATAATTAGAATATCGTGCAAAGTTCATTTATTTCACTAATGCAACTTAAAAGGTGAAACTAATATATGAGATAGACTCATTACATGCAAAGCAAGATAATTCAAGCCGTGATTTGTCATAATTGTGATGATTATGGCTTACAGCTCATGAAAACCCCAAGAACCCCAAATCCACAACCTCAAAAAAGTAGATTATTACATGCAATCAATAAAACAAGGATTGCACATAGAACAATATCGGACCTCTGAAAAGTACAAGCATGCATATGTACTCAGTACTTGGTTTGGGCCCCTTTTGCAGCACTTACTGCAATTACTTTTGCACGATATTCTAATTATTCGAGTTTCACCTGTATATGCTGACGTCACTGGTATTGGAAGATTTGTATTATGTATGGCTAGATGGTGGTCACTGTCTTCAGGGGTGCCTTTTAGGAGATCCTGATATAGAATGTGATGTCTATTTCTCAAACTTTTAAAAACATTGTTTCTTTTTCTTTGTTTATAATAAATATGATATTTTGTGGCATAGTAGTGTCTGTGTGGTACCATTAAAGTCCAAAATGTTTGCCCTTGGTTTTAGCTGATATATTCAAGACAGAACCAAACAGATCATACATGCATTTCTTTCTTTATTACATATTTTGTTCATCTGGCGGCAGTCTTGACTCTCCACTCTGTATCTTGCAGATGTTGCTATGAAGAGAGGTCAGAAATGACTGATGTGGAGCCTGGGGTCACAGATTTTGCAACATCAGGAAGATCAGGTCGCCGCAATGCCTTACCAGACATCTTGGGTTCTCCAGCAGGGGCAGAAGCCTCTGATCTACCACAGAAACTAGCAGAGCTCTCTGTATCTCAAGGTAATTTCTTAGTTACAGTATAGGTATGAATGGTCATAATTGTCCAAAATAGGAACAGATTTTAGCTTGGTTAATAGGACAAAGTAAGGGTAGTACACTCAGACTTGTGGCTCTCATCATACTCTGCCCAGCTCACATACTGGTGCAATGTTAAAGTAAACTTTTGTTTGGAGATATATGAGGAGTGCCTTTGTTGACCTCTTTCAAGAAATGCTAGAAATGGGCAAACATACTTATCTGAATAAGTGTTCTGCTTTACTTACTCAAGGTACTAAAGCTTAAGGATCAGCATGGCAGCCAGGCTACCAGCATTTGTAGAAGTCAGCAATGGCAGCCTCTATGCTTCTCAGAAGGAACTGTCATTTCTCTAAGTAAAGCAATTTGACATTTTCTTCATTAAAAACCAAACCTATCATTTGACAGGTGTATAAAATCAGTCTAAGTGATCACTTAGCTTGCTTGATATGCCAAGAATAGCAGAAGACCTTGTTACTAAAGATGATCAAAAAATTCCAAGGTCAGCAGTTACAAAAAACAGCTTCAGCCCAAAAACTTTTTTCTTACAATCTCTGCTTCAATAGTACATCTCCACTTAAAGAAGACTTAAACTGTGGAAGCTGTGCCCATTAAAATAATTTAAAGAAAGCCTTTTAAAGCAAGCAGAGGCCAAATGACTTGTCACCAGTATTGCATATAGGCCCTTGGCAGCTGATCTTTTTCCCCATTACTGATCTACTATCCCTTGTACTGTGTCTCTGTATGTGGTCACTGTGAAAGGTAATGTAGGACATTTCCAAGCAAAAATCAGACAATTATCAATTATAAAATGCATGGGTAAATGACTATAAAGAGAAAACATATTGTGAAACTTTAAGAAAATAAAAAAATAGGTTCAACAACTGATTTGTCTTTAAAGCCCATCTCTGGGCTTTGGAGCACCATAGCTCAATAGATGATCAGTCTGGCATGGTGATGTCACAGGACCTGTTCACCAGTTTCCTCTTCTTTTTCCTTCCTGGATCCTAAGTGCTGCAAAAGGTGGGAACACATGAAGACAAATCTTAAACCAAAGGCCAACATAGCAATTAAAAAAAAAAAAAAAAAGCTTTCACTGCAATTTATTTCAAACTGCTTCAAAGGTATGTCAGATGCTAACAACAAATGCCCGTGTATGGAAGTCCCAATGTCTACCATTCAATCCAAGATTTCCCTCCAGAGCATTCAGAGATATTAAAGTGGATCTTACAGGGTTATTCACTAAAGGGTGAATAGTTTGGAGAAGGCAGGAGAAGTGAACAATCTAGGACAACTTAGCTGGACTGCAAAGTGAGCTGAATTGGAGAATGTTTCCAAATCAGCTATTTAGGCCTAAATTGTTCACTTCTCCTGCCTTCTCCAAACTCTTCACCTTTTTGTGAATAACCCTGTTAGTCTGCATGAATACATCCCTAACATATTCCAATATACAACTGTGTGTGTGTGTGTGTGTGTGTCTATATATTTTCTTAAATCAGTATTTTATTATTAAAAAGCAGCCCTTGAGCTTCAAAAGTGACTTTGCCTAAGCTGAGATGATGTCATCAGTCTGCTGCAGGCAGGAGGAAGCATTTTCTTAATCTCCTTTTCCCATAGTGATCAGACTATAACATTGTAACCTATCATATAGCACACCTGAAGTCTCTGGCCAGGTGCTATCCATGTCTTCAGTCTTTGACAGCTTTCTTTAGCATTACATTCACTGAATATTAAGTGTGGCCCTTGGTGATGTCAGAGGCCCCAGTTTAGACCCCCATATCAATACTTTTGACCACCACTCCTATAGCTTGATTTAAAAAAAGTTTTAAAAAGGACTGCATGCAAAAAAGGACTAATACTTACCTGTTGTACTAGTGATCTATGCTCTATTCAAGGGCTATGCTGGCTGCAAAATCTTCTGCATCCAACATACTTCTGGATACGTTGGACTCCTGGTTCCCTATTTCAGTTCCATCTGCTGGCCCCTATGCCACCGCAGTGTGCTATACTGTGAACTTGAAATGTTTGATACATAACTTGCCTAATTACTAATTACATTACTTTTTTTTCGTTAGATGATGGTGCAGGAGGAGGAGGAGGAGGAGGAGAACCTTCAGGAGAAACTCCAGCTGAAACTCCAGAAGAAAAATCGGATACCTGAACATGATCCTGAATGGGAAATTTTCATGCTAAGAGAAGCAGCACTCATCTGCTCTAACTAGCAGCCTGTGCGCAGACTATGCAACATATTCACGTGGGAATAATGTCTCTCTTGGTACTCGGCTCTCTCGCTGAAATATAGATATATATTTTCTGCTCTAGATGGATATAGTCTAGGCCTGAAACACATTTTAGGAAAGAGCTATATGACAAAGAATGTTAAGTGGATTATATTTTATGAAGCAAGTTTATTGGAATCTCTAATCTTAACAACAATGACTGAAGGACAGAACATATCCAATATGTATTGATGATTTAGGAGAATGGAACAGTAAAGATTTGTTTTGAGGATAGCTAATCAGGTGTTTCCTGACTTACATCACCATGTTTCACACCTATGATTTCACTTGTTATAAATCGTTGAAAGAATTAGGTCACCCTATGATATTGTTTCAGCTAATTTGTCTCTGCACAAGAGGGGGAAAAAAATAATCAAGGCAACCATCGTCTCAGTGCCTTAATGTCATGAGTTTTCTATGTGACAATTCTATAACCTAAAAACTGCCCCCAAAAAAACAAAAGGGTCACATGAAAAATTGGCAGAATCAGTAGCTTGCAACTAAGAGCTGCATTTCTGTGTGTCATCTTGTCCAACAATGTAGCAATGTTTGTGACTTCAATTGTTTAATATGAAAATAAAAGCGATATTGGCATTGCTATGGATAAATTGTGATTCTGAAAGTGTCTTTCTTGGGGATGAAAGATGAACTATGATTATATTCTCTTTTATTATGGACGTGTTTGCCTAACAAGATTACAGCTATAAATAAAACATTGATTTATAAGCCAGATGAACACATTTACATGAGGCATTTATAACCCAGCTGGGAGTAACATTCTGTAACAGTTGCTGTACATCTGCTAATAATTCAAAATACAATATGCCTAGAGAAAGATAAGTGGAACATGGCACTTTATTATGTAATGACAGCAGTGTAGTCCCAGTATATGTATATAACAGATGTATAGTCAGCCAAGGCTCCTGCTGCCAGGAATAACCTTCACATAGAATTTCCCATTTACAACAGACATGCAACAGATTTTGGCCATGTATGAATAGAGTAGGAAAGGGTTACAGGCTCTGTTTTGTTTTATTGCTGTGTGCCCCCATTGGAATATTTGCCACCATTTCCTGTCCTACTGACAAAATGGTAATCTTGCCAAAGTGAGCACATAAAGGAATTGGGTTCTACCCAATTTTACCTAAAATTGAAAAATAAATAACTGACTGTAGTTCTGCTTTAATGAATAGTGTTTTTGTTATGCCTGAATTAAATATTTTCAATTACGGTCAATGGGGTTACATTGTAAAGATTGGTAAAATTAATTAGAAGTTCTTTCTTTAAATATTTATATACATACACACACAAATGTGTATATTCCAATATAGCATCTATACACATAGATGCATGCATTCAGGTAACACTTCTTGGTAAGGCTAGCAAGCCATCTAGCTTACCGCTCTTACAAAATGGATAACTTTGATTTACCAATTCACTTGTCTAAAGCAAATTGTGAGAGCTTTTACTCAAATAATACAACAGATCAATGTTGCCACAGAGAAGCATGCTCTGTATTTCCCATTTGAGCTAGACATGCCCCTATACTTGGCAATGTACATTCCTTAACTTTCGCTTAGCATACCTTGAGCTTCCTATCTCAGAACAGTGGTCCCACATATTACCACCCTCCCACAATGTACACCCCTGATCTTCCCATTTCAGTGTGTATGCCCCAGTACTTACTCAGAAATGTTTGCAATCAACATTACATATGCAGACATAGCATCTCAGCCTTAAGGTGCACCCTTAAACTTCTCACCTTAGCAAGGTATGCCCAAACCTTCCTCAGTGTAGTTACTGTGCCCCCAAATTCCCATTTTTGGAGCTTCCGATCTTGACAAGTCAGTTTACTGAAGGCAAAGCTTCACACACATAAGGCAACTTATGCCTTTGTGGCTGATAAATCAGGAGAAATAATGAAAACCAGAAACAGAGGAAACACATGAAGACTTTTAGTGTGGGAAGCTGACAATTGATTAATTCTGTGCAGAACAAAAGAAAGCCAAGCACTGTCTACTTCAAGGTCTGCTGGCTGGTCCTATAATATTGTACAGCATATTGCACTTGTTATTATGCCATGACTGAACTAAGGAGGCAATTTACTCTTAGGAGGTATGGTGCTGTGGATTGTGGTGTAACAAGCAATCCTAGCAATCTTCAAATAATTTCCCTTTTCCCACGCAGGCTAAAATATGTATGCCAGGCTATTCAGTTTTTCACCATATCTGCAGGCATATCATATTTTATTATTTTAAAGTCAGTGAAACAATTCACACTTAAACATAATGTGCATATGTTCATCAAAATGACATGTACACAGTAATGCATAAATGGAAACTTTAATGGCTTGGATTCAATCTTATTGGCATGAACTAATGTATCCACCGCAATTGACACATCTTGCCTTGGGAATCTTCACCCACTCTTGAATGGAAAAGTGCTCCAAATCTGTAAGATTGCGAGGGCATCTCCCGTGTACTGCCCTCTTCAGGTCAACCCACAGATTTTCAATTGGATTCAGTTTTAGGCTCTGCCTGGGCCATTCCAAAACTATGATCTTCCTCTGGCAAAGCCGTTCTTTTGTTGATTTGGGGGTATGCTTTGAGTCGTTGTGCTGAAAGGTGAAATTCCTCTTCATCTTCCACTTTTAGGGATAGATCTCAGGGCTTTGTGACAAAATTGACTGAAATTTGGAACTGTTCATTACTCCCTCCACCTTGATCAAAGCTCCAGTTCCAACTGAAGAATAACAACCCCAAAGCATAATAGTGATGCACAGTGTTGTTTTTGTGCTAAACATACTTTCTGGAATGATGACCAAAAGGTTCAAGCTTGGTCTCATCAGACCATAACACATTTTCCCACATGCTTTTGTCAGATTTGATGTAGGTTTTTGCAAATGTAGCCAGGCTTGGGTGTTTTTCTTAGAAAATGGTTAGCGTCTTGAAGGGACAGGCGGTAGGGGGAGGCAGGTGAGGCAGAGCCTCACCTAGTATTATGGAGGATAAAGCTGTCAGCTTCAAGTCTGAAGCTGACCGCTTTTTCTCCATTTCAGAGATGCCTGTAACAGGTTACACAGAAGGGAAAGCCTCCCCACTGAGTAACCTGTCATGGACTGTTAATTACAGGCGGTGCTTCATCCGGCTTTTGACAGCTAGTTAGGTTAAAAAGCAGCGGGCTTGTGTAACCTGCTTGTGTAACCTAATATAGTGAGGCAAGAGCTGTCACAGCCTCTACTCTGTGTTAGAGGCGTGAACTCTGTGGATAGTTGGACCAATGGCAAAGCGCCAATAAAAAATAAATTTAAAAAAAAACACCGATCTCGATGCCTCACCAGTGACTCCCCAGTGATGAGCAAGTGAGGGATAGGGAGGGGATGGGGCAGGGCTGGGGATGGGGCATGCTGGGGGCGGGGATGGGGAATGCCTCACCCAGCACAGAAAGGCAGCGCACATCACTAGCGACTTGGTACCTTACCCCACACCCCAGACATATGAAGAATATGGGAGATTTGTTGTCACATGTAGTACACAGCCACTACTTGCCAGAGATTCCTGCAGGTCCTTTAATGTTGCTGTAAGGCCTCATGACAGCCCTCTGGACCAGTTAGTACCCTTCTCCTGAAACCTTGCAACAATTAGATTTCTTTTGCTGTAAGAGACAACTGAGTGTCAGAAAAACCCTACTAGAAGAGCTGAATTTTATATTGGCTTAATCAGAGTCACTTTAATTGATGGCAGGTATGTACTGATTACTTTTTAACCTCAGTTTGAATGTGATTGGTTAATTCTGAACACAGCCACATCCCTAATTATAAGAGGATGTGTACAATTATGCAGCCAGTTTATTTTAATTTTTCCGACTAAACAATTTAGGTTATTTTTACATTGAATTTTACAGATTACAGGTCACATTAACTGTGGAAACAAATCAGAAGTGATTTACCTTGGTCTGATGTTGGTTCTTGGCTTAGTTTGGTTCTCAAAAACCTGGCATTTTTAAAGGGGTGTGTACACTTTTTATATACACTGTATATGATATTTTTGTGGTTGCATTTACATCTACTTTAACCACTTCCTGCCAAGTACATTTTTCAGTTTTCAGTGATGCCATAATTTATCTGACAATCACTCAGTCATGCAACACTGTACACAAATGAATTTTACATAACTGTTTTAGACAGATAGAGCTTAGAGATGGAGAGATTTAATAATCACTGCTTTTGTATGTTTTCTATATAAAGTAGAAAAGACTAAATGAAAAAAAAAGTTTCTTTCAACTAAATAGTCTTTCTTCAGAAATTTAGGCCAAAATATATTCTGCTACATTATTTTGGTTAGCAAAAATAAACACTGTGTCAAGGTTATAGATTCTACAAACTATGGCATATACTAGGGATGCACCAATACTGTTTTTTGGTATCAAGAGTACCAATATTTATCTTTCAGGGTAATATCTCTCTGCAACAACTGATTAGCAGCTAGTTCTCTAGTTGTTAACACCATAGCTACTTTTTCTTTTACTTGGGGATTAGAGCACAACAGCCAGTTGCTGCTTTTAGTCCAGAGCTTTCTTTTTTGTAGCACCTTTCTGTATCCTTTGAAAAAAAATGTAAAAACACTCTGCACCTAAAACACAACCCTTACCCCGGGCACACCACAACTGCCTGCTATATTCTCTTATACCTAAAAAGTGTTTGGTCTTTTCTTAGTTAAAAGTATATAAAATAAATGTATTCGTTTTTTCAATAACATCTTTAGTGGATATTTGTCACTGTGCCACTGACTTTTACAGTGGATAAAAGTCAGCTTCTCAGTCACAAACCCCCTTCCTTCATTTGCTGAAGGACCTCTCTGACATGACACATTTAGCCAGTGCTATATCCTTGACACCCACTAATCCCTTTCAATGGAATACTAGTCTATTAGTTACAGCCTTGATGTCACTGCCCATGTTTGGTTGATCAGGGCAGGGACAGCTTACGGGGGAAAAAATGAAAAATGTAAATCTGTAAAGAATGTTTACCAAAAACATTCATTAAAAAATAGTATGGTGGTTGAGAACATGTTAATGTGGAACATGCTTAGTTCATGAACTGGAGGATGAGGGCCATTTTCATCAGGTGGTATAGAAGCAGTTGAAGTGCAAAGTTGGCATAGAGGCACAGAGCATGTGGAGGTTTGGTGTACTTTTTTTTTTTCTTCTTCTGCTCCAGCAAAAGCCCGTCATGGGAAGGATGTTGGATAGTGGAGTGGGATGGGTGCATCTTCAAGTTTTAAGCTTAAATCTGGGAAAGGACAGACAATCTATAGCTATAGAAAAGTATGCTTAATGTTTGTCACATCCTGCCCCTCTCCTCTTGTGCCTTGATAAAGACTCACAAGAAAAGGCAAATGGGGGATTGAAAGGACTCTATAAATATGTTACTGTTAGACTGCCAAGGCCAGGAAAGGGGGCTTTTTTCAGTTCTTTACCATGTATGACATGGCCGTGCGGTCCGGGGAGACAGGTGAGGCAGAACCTCACCTAGAATTATGGAGGAAAAAGCTGTCTGCTTCAGACATGAGACAGACACTTTTTCTCCATTCAGATCGGCATCTAACAGGTTACACAGCAGGGAAATCCTCATGGAATGAGTGCCTCAGTGGTGAGGAGCATGTGAGGGACAGGGAGACTCCTCCCTTCCTCCTTTACACTAGCTTGGGGACTGATTGTGGGAGGGGCTTCATCGGA